CCCCCCCCCAAATTATATCCAAACTGGACATTAATCTAAAAACCTTTAAGTTGAAAGTGGTGTTTCACCCAAACAAACTTGACCAAGACTGACTGCATTTTGCTACCAAAAAAGGAACATAAACCTGGAATAACCATAACTGACACATCTGAAAAGGAAGACACACAATAACATACAAGAGAAGTCAAGAAGTCTTGCACATTTGTCCTCAGAATTAAAAAAAATGCAAAGCTGAATCGACTACAATTGAATTATTTTGACTTTCCATTTTGGAGCACAAAATTTTTACTGATAAGAATGACAATACCAGCAATGTGACCTTACCTGGTCTTCCATGAATTTCTCCATCAACTCTTTAGCCTCAGCCATGGCATCAGCGTTAGGAGCAAACACCTGAAAACTGCCTTCATCAATGCGGGTCACTGTCACACCTGCAAGAAATTGAACATTTAACAACAACAACAACAACAACAGCAACAAAAAGAAAGAAAAAAGAATAGAAAGAAAAGAAACCCACTGAAAAGAATTATAGAAACTTTTAGAGAGACCAAATCCATTTAACTCAAAAGTAAATTCTAAACCACTCCACTGTTTTTGATCAAAGGCATTCACCTTATAAAACATGAGCCTGAGAACAAGAGAATTATTATCTTTAGTCATTGATGACTTTGGATATTGCAACTTTTTATTTCAGTCTCAGTGTTACCTCAAACTTCAATATGACGTCAAGGTCATGACTGATAGCGTAACAAAGGCCAGAGCTACCTTTCCTTTTTTTTTTTTTTTTTTTCAGTCATTACTGTGGCGTCTATGTACTCTGTCTTAGTACCGTACAAAGCTCTCTCATAAACAGCATTTATTTGAAGTCTGGAATTACTCATAACTGTTACAGATACAGACAGATTTGAAGTCTGGAATTACTCATAACTGTTACAGATACAGACAGACTTAAGCAGTAGAATTCATGTCAACTATGAACCTATGAGTTTTCTTACTTCCCTAAATACCCATACATAACCATATATAAAGGAAAATTCTGTAAAATTTATCAGATCATTTGTCTGCAGTCATGTAACTATAGCTAACTATCAATCCAGCGATGATAAAGTGAGTAAATGGGACACAAAAACATCTGAAGAAATAGTTTTAATGCATTTTCAGCCTGAATTTCAAAAACAGAACAAGTGAAAATCATCCAAGACCTATGTGGATAATAATATAAAATACCTGTTTCTGATTTGAGCTTGCGCAGATTGTAGCCTCCAAACCCAACTAACCGGCTTTGCTTTGAATGATCAAGAACCAGCTTTTCTGAAAATTGAAAGGATTAGGGTGTATGTTAGCAAAAAAAATAATGAACACTGAAGGTAAACAATCAAATTTTTAAAAAACCCCATACAATTTAGGTTTTTAAATACAAATTCTTACAATTCGATTACATCCATTAAAATGTATGTGTGAACACAAACAACAATGTCATTACAAGGATAATACGCCTAGAGTTTGGAATAGTATTACTTCTTGCAATGTAGCTCAGAGAGAGACAAAACTATGATCATTACAAAGACTAAAAAGCAACCATTTGCCGGTGGCGTACCTGTCACAGGTCCACATGTCTTTAAACTCTTCCTGGGAGATGAAATTGTTTGGCTCATGATCTCCATAATTTGTTTTGTAGCAGCTGTGTGAATAGAATAAGACATTTATTGACAAGCATGCACGTTAAAGATGAATGGTAGCAGTAATGTTATATCAAAGAATAGACATTGCCTCTTACCCTCTTTTCTTGAAAGAAATAAGAATTGAAGTTTATTTCTAAGTCCAAAAGATATCATGACCGAAAGTAAATTAAACTGTTCCTAATAATTCTGAAGGCAAAAGTTAATCATCTTGAATTATTTCTCACAAAAGGAACTGACTAGACCATCAGACCAGCGCAGTAAATCTCATTTGTAACTACCAGAAAAAAATATTTGCCTGTTTTTGCAAAGTAAAACAAAGTCAATATGAATATATGTGAAGTATCGTGGTGAAAATAGACACTCCTCAAAATAATGAAATCGAAGACACCAGCATTTTTCCGTTGCTTTGGGAATTTTTATCGAATTTTTATTGTTTGGCAAAACACCTTTAAGTCAATTTAAAAACATAGGCTACTTCAATGTAGAATTTACAGAAAAACATTGCTTAATTAAAAGCACAAAAAAGTAAATTTTCAATTTCCAAGAACTTTCAAGCTATGGAAGTCACAAACTTTGCTGGTCATTTCCTCATTAATTGTACCGGTACCTCCGAAACCAGGTAACCCGTAACTCCTTCAATCCCAAATATTTCAACTTTTATTCAAGATAGAAAGGTATTTTTTTCATCAAAAGATAGACATATGGGTGCTTTTAAGGACAAGCAGGCTTGGGTGAAGTGAGGAAAATTTGTGTAAAGTGCCTTTCCCAAGGAAACAACGTTGGGCCCACGGCTCGAACCCCCAAACCCGCAACCTCACGATTACGAGTCCGGTAGCCTAACCACCATATGACACATAATTGCAGGGTCCCTTTTACTTACTATTACATTCAGCTAAATAGAGGCGTAGGTGAAAACTAAACAGCCTACAAAGACTATCCAGATGAAAAAGGCTGAAAGCTGCCCACATCAAAAAGCACATTATCTGTGAACTAAAATAAAATACGCATTATACATATGTCTAGGCATGAAACCCCTTTTATCAATGTAATTTTAACTATGGTAATGAGATAAAGATAACATACCAAATCCTCCTTCTAATGCTTTGATGACTATGAAGAATGGAATGCCTGGCAGTTTAATATCGGCCTGAAAAAAAAGAAATTGCAAAAATTTCTCAGTTAAAGAAATAATAATATAGAATCATACACAGTTTAAGTTCCATCAACAGTTACAGTACAACAATGCACCAGAAACAAATGTACAAAAGATAGCTAAGCAAAATATGGCAAAAACGTTTAAATCTGCACTGCCTTCAGGCTCACTGAAAAATATTGAGGCTAAAAAACAACACATAAACGACAATAAACATACCCTAACAGAAACAAAGAAATATACCTCGTTTGAAAAACAGAACTCATCCAAAGATGAATTTACTCTTTGATTATATAGTAGCTGAAGACCATGGCTGTCTTTGTTATCTTATCATAGTCCTACATCATGCTTTGTTTTCTGGTGTATAAGTTTACTGTCTTTCAACCTGATAATGGCACCAGTTTGCCGAGTGTGTCTTAAATATAAGCAATAATACTGACGAGTACATCTCTGCTGTAAGCTGACAAAATGCCTTTTCATTTTGGCGCCAAAATTTTTTATTTGCTAAATCCAAAGTCTGATCAGTTACCCTACTTATGAGAAAAAATTAAATTGAAAGTGATGTGACTAGTTTTTGAATAAATTAGAATTCAAATTTTGGAATGACTCTATTTTTAGATGATTACGCTGACAAAAAACTTTTTTTCTTGAAACTGCTCTGAAGAAAAAAAGGCTTATGGTAGATCTGTTAATCAACTATGACCAAACATCTAGCAAAATATGTGCATCACCAATGCCTTAAACTAGTCTTTGAAGAAAATTGTATGTATCTGTGAAAGCTTTCATAAATATCATTTACGACTATTTATTTGTTCACGACAAAAGGTTTGGAAACTTCCTACTGGCATAGACAGAAATCAAGCTTTGCATTTTCAGCATTTCACTAGAGCAGGGTACCTCAGGCCCAAGGACTCGTACTAATCTAGTGTCTGATCCAGATGAACATGAAGACAACTAGAGGTCTGGTGACTACTGAGCTCCAAAGTCAAGAAAAACAGACATAATATCTCATCTTCTCTCATCATTTGCAATGTGATAAGGACAAATCTTCGAATAATTCAAGACCAGTTAAAAATGCCAACCACATTACTGTGAAATACAGTGAAGCCTGCTTAAACCAAATACGATTTTTCTGAAAACAGTGCAAAAAGAAAAACAATTCCTGATTTTTTCCCTTCAATATGAGCAGCCTCTCTAATCGGAAAGCGAAGCTTGACATAATAAAATCCTGCGGCCCCTAAGATTTTGGTTTAAGCAGACTCCATTGTATACAACAGTGACAAGTATCAAGGGGGCCTTCTTTGCACTTCAAATACCTCTCAAGAAACTGATACACCGAAACTTTCATTAAATCTTTACAGTACACTTAATTTATTTGAAACTTTCATGAGACCCTGTTCTCTCTGTTCAGGTAGAAATCTCCCTACAGGAAAAATGAAACAGTTCACAAAAAGCAAATTTTCTTCTCGCACCCATCCAAACCCATATCCAACCTTATTCCGGTTCATCAAGGAATTTTGTCATGTTTGGCAACACAGTGCAGCAAAGCAAGAACATCCTCTTAGCATATTTCCCAGATAAGGCATTTAGAGCTTCGCCTTCAAAATGACCAAAACTGTGCCCGGAAAGGTGTAACATTGCAAAAACAAGAAATAACAAATCACGCTAGAAAAGCAATAAGGAAAAAAATCTCACCTGAATGGCAGTCATGCCTCTTGCCGTTGCTGCCATTTTGAAATCCATATCACCCATGTAATCTTCAATGCCCTGTGGTCATATTCAAATTTTAAAAAAGCATAATATTATATCTATTTCGATGTGAAGTGTATACAGACCCGGTAACCCGGAACAAAGTCACGAAGTATACAGACCCGGTAGGGGAAATCTTTTGTGATTTCAGAAAGTTTCAGCGCCCAGACCCGGTAGAGGGTGTGTGCGTGTGTGTGTGTGTGTGTGTGTGTGTGTGAGAGAGAGAGAGAGAGAGAGAGAGAGAGGGAGAGGGAGGGAGGGAGAGGGAGGGAGGGAGGGAGGGAGGAAGAGTGAGAGAGAGAGAGAGAGAGAGAGAGAGAGAGAGAGAGAGAGAGAGAGAGAGAGAGAGAGAGAGAGAGAGAGAGAGAGAGAGAGAGAGAGAGGAGGGGGGTATGGAGAGACAGAACAGATATAGAGAGGGTGACTGCTGGATAGAAATTATGACATTGTTCTTTGCTTCAAATTATCTTATTGATTCCTCCAACTCCAAAACGGCGGAAAAATGATCATTCATAAAAAAAGACATCCGCAATCTTCATTTAGATCAAGGCTTCAAAACTAGATTTATATCTATGATATATGTCTGTCTGTCTAAATGATCTAGACCTAGGCTATAGATCCTAGGTCTACCCTGAGCCAAGATCAAGAGTGCGCTGAAGCTTTCCGAAATCACAAAAGATTTCCCCTACCGGGTCTGTATACTTCGTGACTTTGTTCCCGGTTACTGGGTCTGTATACACTCACATTCTGATGACATTTTCTTTACCAGATTTCTCTTTGAGATTTTACCTTTCTCTGAATAAGCATCTCCTGTTCTCTACTTTTAGTTTGCTCTTCGTTTATTTGGAACCCATACATGATAAACTTTTACATAGCTGTTCTGGGAAGAGGTATTCTTTGTTAAACCTCAGTGTCACATACCCACTCACTCTCACCAAAACAAAATAAGTCAGTTGTAGCTGTTAAGTAAGCTTTCTTGAAACTCTCTCTGTCTCACTCTGCATCTTTCAGGCCTCAAGAAGGGCTCCCCACTTCATTCTGCCCTGGCCAATTTTCTCTACCTCCAACCAGTGATGCCCCATCTGTCTGAGACCTGCCTCTAGATCTCATTCCCAGGAGGATCTCACTCTCCCTCTCTTCCTCCTCCCTTGGAGATTTCAACTTAGGTTTTGTCTTGTCACAATGTGGGCTGGCTTTCCAAAAGTGTGCCCAATGCATCATGATCTTCTTTTCTTGATCTCACACCCTAAGACTACGAACCTAGAAAAAACCCCCCCATTTCATTCCAATCCTTTACAAACTTTGAAGGAGATAGGGCTGATGTTACACTGCCCTCAACTTACTCTACCCTCTTGTTCTAATGTACTTTTATTCTTTCAAGAAATATGTACATACCATCCAATAACTAGTTTGGACAGTATAAAGAAGAAAAAAACAGTGCACAGAGAAATAAGTGGAGGAGTGTATAAAATATTTTAAAAAATAAAAAACTCTTTATAGTAGTTTACCAATAGATCTGTCAAGATCTGATGATGGCTAATTTTGCCTGTCTCTGGGTCAGTACGAGTGACCAGTCCCATGGCCACACCAGCAGCAGGCTCTTTCACTTGGACTCCGGCATCCATGAGAGCTAGACTGCCCCCACAGACTGATGCCATGGAGGATGAGCCTAATAGACGGACAGAGAGACCATGAGGGAGATTTTTTAGTTTTAGTAGAGGTTTTACGACGCTCGCAACTGCTTGAGGTCATAAGAGCGCCAGAAGATTAGAGGTGTTACAAGAGAGTAACAAACATAAAAAAGAAAAAGGGGAGATAAGGACGATAGATGTTTGATAGGAAAGAAGAAGCAAACCACACCAGAGCACCCGCCAACCACCCACTCTATAAATGAGTGAGGTCAAACACATTTAGTCACGATAAATCTCAACTCATCAACAGATCCCTGTTAATAAGACAGGTAACACTCCCTTTTATTCACATTTTGAAAAACAAATTTACAGTGTGCTCTCACCAACTTTTGCAACACAATCAATTACATCCCCCTCCCCCAATCTAAATAACACAAACATCATTTTCCTTCTTGCTTTTATTCTTTCCATTTCATTATCCTTCTCTCCTTCCTTCACCCTCTCCCCCCATCCCTCCATGTATAATAAACATTTTATATCAGTTTCACTCAGGGGGGGGGGGGGGTGTAGGTTTGCTAGAATTCTCTTTTATTTTAAGTAGAGTTTAGTTGAGGTTTTATGGCGCTCGCAACTGCATAAGGTCATATGAGCGCTTTAATTTTAAGCTTTTCTTTCTATCTTAAATCAAGCAACATAAAGGATGATCAACTGTAAACTCTTTACTTTACAAAGCAGCCAACTATTGTGTTCAAGGTATATTTTTCAACAAGAAATTCAAGTCTTCGTTGTGAAAAGTCTGTGAAGTACAGCTAGACAACAAAGATTGGAATATTTAAGACCAAAAAAAAGTCTTGATACCAAAAGAAATTTTTAAAAAATCCATTCACATACCTTTACAAACACAGTGAAAAAATGCTGCAATAATAAACAATGGCAAAAACCCCCACATAAAAGCAAGGTTTTACTTACCATTAGATTCAAGAACTTCTGAAGTTAACCTGACAGTAAAATCAGATTCATCGGGGAGAATTGGCTTTAGACCTTTCTCTGCGAGTGCTCCTACAAAACAGAAAAATGAGAGATAGTTAATAAAACAAATTTTTCAAAGGAAACAGTTTAGGAAATGTCAGGGGCTTATATTTCATATGAACAGATGAAATATGCATTTAGTCAGTGTTGTAAAGAAAGGTAATCCTGTCATCCAGTGAATATGTGTGCGAGCCTGGTGAAAGGTACCGTAAAATGCATTTGCTCAAACTGAGATACAGGGCAATAAAGGTCAAAAACCAATATATTTTTTAACCAAAATTGAGATCCACTAAAAACTTATTCTTTAGCCATTTATCTACAGATACTTACAAAGCTTTGCATTTATTCGTCGGTGGCCTAGTGGTTAGGCTCTCGGACTCGCAACCGTAAGGTCGTGGGTTCGAATCCCGTCAAGGGCCCGACGTTGTGTCCTTGGGAAAGGCACTTTACACGAATGTTCCTCACTTCACCCAGGTGGGAATGGGTACCCGGCTATAGACGCTATAGACAGCGAAAGATCTTGTCAGTTTGTTAGTGTTTGAGCGCTTAATCGGCTGCTCGCACTGTATGCTTCCCGGGAAGCTGAGAATGTTTCGGAGTGTTCTATGGTCTGCTGGGGTAATAATATAGTGTAAAGCGCATAGAGCCTGCTGTTGAGCGGGGATATGCGCTATACAAATGCTATCTATTATTATTCTATGCTAAAAATGTGTTGTTGAAGTTGTTTTTTGACATTCATTAGGAGTAGAACTCAATCCAGATCTGAACGAAACTTAGAAGAAATTTTTCTCAAAACATTGTTTCCACATCTTACCTGACAATATTAACCAGATCTCTTGAAGTACTAAAGCAATCTTAAAAATTTTTTAAGCAAGTTCTTTAGAAATTTTTTGTGCCATAAAATAGAATAAAACGCAATTCTTCCAAATGCGTCATAAGGTACCTTTCATCAGGCATGCACACATAATATAATCACTAACACTTTGAAACCAGGTCCAATATTTCATGATACCTGCTTAAAGTGCCATTGATAAGTAGACACGCAGGAGGCTACAAATCACCAAACCCCAAAATTCATCATAATCTAGCATTGCATAATGTGCACATTTACAATGAGATCTGTTTGCTTTCCTCATTACACTAATTATAAATTATTGTTATGATCCTCCCTGCAAAATCAGTAACAAAGAAAAAAGCTCAGCCTACATTGTGACATTATCATAACATACCATGTCCTAGCTCTCTCCTTCCAATACCTCCTCTTCCAGTTTCATTTGTCGCATAAGGAGGGAACTGGGAGACAAGAAAACAATATGTATATTTGGAATGCATGCTCATTAGAAAAAGAAATAGATGATATAATGTATGCTAACAGTCCCTACGGCAAAGAAATAGTCAAACGGTCTTTAGAATTTGGAGGCACCAATTTGTCTATTTCTGTTTACCTGTGCCGATATCTCCACTCTCCTTACCACATTTAAAAATAGTAATGATGGATTAGATGATTCTTTAACAAATATATCATATTCTAACTCCCACCACAGCCTTGAAATATTTTACTAGGTTGCTTTAGTACATTGGCATATCCATGGATGTCTCTGTCAGAGAATCAGTGAGAATTCAGTGACCACAAAAGGTGTAAAAATGTGTAATTACGAAAGTCTCAGTGACTGCCTGTTCATAAATGATTTACTAATAAAGACACTGTGCAGATCTTACCTCATAATGAAGCATGAACTTCTTTTCTGTCGAGCTCCTAAAACCAAAGAATAGAAAGAAATCTAATTTTTTTATATGTTAAAAGTGTTTCTTTACAACAACAAAAATTTAAAAAGGAAGCCATTAATAAGTTCATTTCTAAATATTAAAAAGAAAAGTTTTTATTGTTCTTAAGAATTGGAATAGATTTTTCTTTCCACGAGAAAAATTTACTATCTTTTGGTATAGAAATATTTTACAGGGTCAAAAGAACCTCAATAGACACAGGTAGAGGATGAACCCTACCAGCTTCAATACAGTCCATGCTATTTCAAAAGCATCAAAAGGGCAAGAAGAAGTGTACAGAACCTGAAACTTAAAGGTTTATGACCCATAACCAATTTTTCTCCCTGTACATTACTCTCTCCACATTTTTGGTTGGGTTTCTTTTTTGGTTTAAATTCTCTAATCTGAGATTCAATTTAAGTAAAAAGTTTTTCATACTCACCCAGTCGTCACAGACAAAGGATCAGATTTTAACGCAGAAGCCAAACTATCAAAGGTCACAGTGCACAACACCTGGAACAAGCAAACAAAAACATCAGAGGCCACTCATAGCAGAAATACACAAAGGGCCTCCAGCTTTGGACAATTGAGTAAAATTTACCCCATGAAAACAGTGGCAGGGGAAAAAGTAAAAGTATATCTGCAAAACTGAACAGTTTGTACCCTCACATCCCAGCCATCTCTGATTATAGCTCACAATAAGAAAGTAACGCTACCTTACCATACACATTTTCATGCAAGTCTCAAAGTTAATGAAAACACTAAAGACTGGAGAAATGATCAACAGTATAATATTCCATACTGGCAGGTAGGTTACTTTTTCCTAGCACCCCATTTCAACAGTCTGGTCAACAGTCAAAATCTGCCTTCGAAAAACAATAATGTGTTGTAAATATGTTCATGCTGACCATAAATTCATTACCAGTCCATAAAATATTGTATGTTTAAAAGTCCATAAGTTGACAAATGTGTCTGAGAAAAAAAACGTTGAACAAATATTGCAATTCTTCACCTCTGAGTACAACCTAATATCTTATCTTTCAGACACTCCTCTGTTTAGATGGTATTACTTTTTGAAACATGTATCACATACAAACCTGGGTTTGACCTCTCTGGAATAGAGCTGACCCATGCAATGGCTGATAGAGGTCTACTTCACAGCTGATGTCTCTCATTTCTGTCAAACTACGACCATCACATCTATAATAAGAGAAAAAACAACTAAGAATAAAGACACTGTCGTTAGGGACATTAAATTATGACAAAGTACCATGCATTTCTCTTGTTTCAATTTTGATCCACTAACCAGATTCTTTGAAACTCAGTGTATTTCTTCAATCTTCGAAGACAGTCTAAAACTGTTCCTACTGAAAAATGATTTCTGTCCTGGAAAAGTCAGACAGTGATTTATACGAGCATACAGTGGCTTAGACCCCAGTCTCCCAGTTCCATCTTCAGCTTTTGACTCAGCCTACTAAAAACTTGGGCCACAACCATTAAAAACACTTGCTGTCTATTCTTGCTGAACCACTGCAACAACTTAATTTCACACTCTTCATAACATCAGGAAATGGAACAATAAACTTTCAGCCTCAAAAGATATTTAAGTAATTAATGTTACAATAAGAGCAATATATATACTATGGAAAGGGGGAATTACCTTCTGCTTTCATCCAAAATAAGATTTCTGAACACTTGCTTGACATATGTCTGATAACTAGATAATACCACACTCTCTTCAACTTCTGGAAAACTCTCTGAAAGTGGAAAACATTAATGTTTTATATTTTTGTTTCATGAAAAAAGCACTCACTTCGTTTCCTTAATTCACTTGAGCCTGAGCTATTTTTCACCCAACAACCACTGCAGCCTGACACTTTTAGGGTATGTTCAAGCGTTAACCACAAAAATACTGTGAAAGCTATCATATTTTCAAAAATGCAACAAGAGAAAGAAAGAAATGCTCTCACAGAAAAAGAAAACTGTATTCAATTTGTCCAAACAGTTTATATTTTATCAATTTTTTAAAATGGCAATGTCTGGAGGTTACGCAATTTTTTTTGGACCCCAATTTGTAATAAAATCATCTGTCGCAATGTGGGGGTGACTGATTTAGTCTGTTACAGCTAAAAAAGTATCGCACATAACTTCACCAAATTTTTAACAAAACAAAACAAGTGGTCAACTGTTAGCTCCCCGTTTCCTGTAGCTTGTAATAAAAAAAATACCGGAGATATCAATTGATAAAGTGCATTCCATAAATACACGGGATTAGGCCACCAGGCTGGCTGGGCGTTGTGTAAATTTAATCCACGGATATAGGCTCAAATGAGTTAAGAAAAATAATGCAGAGAAATGGTAAGAGCTTAAAAAAATTGCTTTCACTCAGAAAGATAATAATCCGAGAGCTCCAAAGTGCACAAAATATCTGAGTAATGACATCGTACATTTATCTATGCTACTGGCTGACACCTAGAAACTGTTCTAAAAAATGTACTCTCAGCACATTACACACATCATGGTGCTACCTTATAATTATACAAATGCTCAAGAAAACTCACTGCAATGGCCATCACTAGCTTGCATACAAACACACGGAGCTCAAACAAACCTTTGACATTCAGAACAACTTGCTCTCCAATTGCTCTCAAGGCTTGATCTCTTGAAATCTGTTATAAGATTAAATAAAATATCTTTAAAAACCAGTTGTGCTGAAATTAAAAATTTGTAAAACACCCATAAGTTAAACAAGCTCCCATCATCAGATAAGTTTACAGAGTAACACTGAGTGGTGTTTAAAAAAGTAAATTATCAGAATTTTAAAAGCATGGAAAGATGACAGTCAATAAATGTTATTCTTAACATATTAGCAATAAACCTTCCCAGAAAATATCTAAGCATAATATGAATTTTAGCCACTTACTGGTAACTTACATCACGAGAATGAGACAAAGAAATTACACTCTTCGTTTCTTGGCGGGGTCTCCGGTATGTTAGAAGTACAGCCGAAGCTGCCCAATATGGAATCGTAAGGGAGCGAGAGAAAAAATTACATCTTACACATTTTCCTTCTTGAACAGGGGAATTTAGGGAGGGGTGGAGGGGGGGGGGTCCCTCAGACTGCCAGTATGTACACTGTGGGATCAAGGGTCACCTATACAGTCGGCAAGCAGTAGTTAAAACTTCACATCCCTTAAATGCTATCCGAGCCTCTCTGATACTGATATGTCTCAGTCTTATTTATCCATTGCCACCAAAGCTTACATCTTATAGGACGACTGTTTGACCAATTAATAACAGAAACAATAGAATGTTTCTTTTGCTTCCATCCTTAGTCTTACCTATCAATGTAATGAGCACATTCAATAAATGCCATCCCATCCCTTCGTGTAACAATGATTTGAGGATCCACAACTGCCCTGACCATCTGCACTACTCAAGGCTCACATGGGCGGGGTCATCTATCCAAAAACTGCAACCCCCCCCCCCCCTCGTTTGGTGTGGTGGTGTAAAGAATAGAGCTGGTAGAACCAACCTCCAGAGTTTTATTTCAATTCAAATTGGGGTTGAGCTACCAAAGCATTTTCTGTCTTGAGCAGGTCAAAAGCCTCTGAATCGAAGGAATTTCTCTTTCCGTTTTCGGGCTGAGCAGGTTTCCGTTTCATAAAAGTAATTGTAGAAGAATCCATTTAGGTATGTTTGACTGTAATCTGAACAAGAAAATATAAATGAAGAACAAGACAACACAGAATAGATTGCTCTGGATTCATTAGAAACTCACCTTATTATGCTCATCATTAAACAAAATATCTCGAATGTGGTTGTGTGAAAAACTGTGGAAAAAAATATGTGCACAAATGACAACAAAAGATCACATAAATCAAGCTGAAAAGTATTTTTACATAACAATAACATGAGCTTCTGTCAAGTCTATAAGACTTTTTCAAGCACAGCTGACTAGTGCATAATAAAATACAACTCCATCTAAGATTCAAAACCAAAAAGAAAACTATTTCACCTCTTCGTTATTAAAGCTGAAGGGATTAGATTATAAATTCTGTTTCACTAATTTAGTTTTACATCAATAAGGAATGACTGCACTTCCAAACTGAACACAGAAACTACTGAGCTGAACTGCATCATCCTTTAACTTTGTCTTTGTCAGTCCTAAATATTCTGTTGCCACCAATAATATAATTGAATATTCTCTCACTTTCGTATGTCAGTTTGTCAACAGAATGTAGCTGTAGCAGGTAAACAAGAAGTAGCAGACAGCATCAAATATTAAGTACATCATTGATAAATAAGTATCAAAATATCTATGTCTATGTTGTCTCAAAGCAAAATAGCTTCTTTTCACTGGCTTTTTATTATGTCATTATTGCTTAGAAAATTTATCTAAAGAATTCTTCTGCTTGATGTATCCTTTTTTTTTTTTTTTGGTAAGTGTTTTACAGTGCTCGCAACTGTATAATGTAATCTGAGCGTGCGGGACACATTAAACATTTTCAGTGGGTAGGAAATTTTGAATTTCGCATGGGTGGCCGTCAAACCCTACTCTTATCGATTTTGGACCACCAAGGGATCTTAAATAAGCGCAACTTGCACATGGCGTCTCAAAGATTTTTTGCCCTTATCTGAGAAGGATAGGTGTTACCCTTGCCTACCTTAAAGATCAGGGGTGTGGCTGAAACACAGCTGTAAGAAGGAGCCAAGGAGTAGCAGTAGAAAGGCTGCAGAAAGAGTCAGGAGCCCAGAGGAGGGGGCAAAGGAGGTGAGGGGGTGGGGCAGAAAGTGGAGACGAAAGCAGAAGACAGAACACTGTTACAGAGCAAGAAAGAATGTAAAAGGAGAACATTTTAGAGAGAAACATTTTCCGTCGCTATCCACATTTGAACCCGCGACCTATTGAATGAGAGGCGAACACCTTAATTTCTAGACCTCGAGAGCCCCAAGTGGAACTCTGTATGATTCTTGATAAAATCATAACACATAACAATTATCTTGATGACAGCCATCTCCTGATACCTTTGAACAGCATTTTCAATATGCTGAGGAAACACTTTAAGCGGGTCTAGTGCTCTCTTTGGCTTTCCAACTGCCTCCTGTAGCTCTCTTATGGTCTTGATAATGCTTTGGGTAGCTTTCACTGCCTGGGACAGGGCTTGCTCCACTTTGTGGAGAGGAACTCTGTCAGCTTCACCTTCCAACATCACTGCATAGGAAAAGAGACAAAAAGAGAAATAAGGATATAACACTTAATAATAATAATAATAATGTATAACATTTATATAGCGCATTTCCAAAAAACGTAGCTCAATGCGCTTTACATTGGAATACCCATTTTTCAAAAACCTTTCTTACTACTTCCTTTCTTCTCATGCCA